TACTACTTCTGTTACCTCCTGCTACTGCTGCTCCTGCTACTGCTACTGCTGCTGCTACTGCTTCTGCTACTGCTTCTGCTCCTACTGCTAGTGCTGCTGCTGCTGCTGCTGCTGCTAGTGCTGCTGCTGCTGCTACTGTTGCTGCTACTGCTGAGTACTAGCAATACTAAGCCGAAGTAAAGCAGACTGACGGCCTTCAAAGTACTAACAGCCCTGCTACCACAATTACAAGCCCTGCTCGAAAGTCTCGAAAGTGCAAGGCCGGCAATCGCATGCAACCACTCCTCACAATGCCACAGAGCAGCCGGCTGCGCAACGGGATGCGCGGGGCGGTCATTGTGACATCCCTCTGAGCCCATCAGTGGGGCACATGTTTTTTTGAGTTTAGGCGAGGTTTCAGTTCAGGGTTCCATCCCGACGTCGTGCGGTCAATCTTGATGCCGTCTTGCAACAAGCTGCGCAGGGCCGAGCCCTATGCTAGGTACTAGTATGTTCCCGAAGAGGCCAGTCTTTTGTTGGGAAAACTGCCATAGACTTTCAAGATTCAAAGCCTCAACGTGCCTGAACCATACATCTCTCTGCCTCGCAAAACCAAACACAAAAACGCCAGCAACAATGTTCAACCCTAAACCCTGCCCCAAAGTACTGGCTCTCTGTGCACTCACGATCATGCTGTCATTTTTCTCATGTCACTTTCCGAACCGCGGCAATCAGATGCTCACGGGACAAGATGCCACGGAAGTCACCGCCTCAGCTTGGGAGGGCGGGGCACTGAACATGAGCCTCAAGGCTGTCAAGCTTATCAGGTTTGGGTTCAGTTCAGTGCATGATCTTCAGGTTTGTGGCTGACTTGTGCTTGGGAAGCTCCGGAACGGTGTAAGGCACATTCGGTGGATAGACATCTAGTTAGATTCACCGATAGACAGATGTACTCCCCCCTGTGTCCTGCTTGACGGTGTCTGCACCCCTATAAATCTATCTTTCTGTTGCTGCTACTGCACGGTGTGGGGCTACGAGCGTGTATCAAAAGTGAGCTTGATGCTTCGCTGAGGGACACCCACAAGCACCGAACCCGAGACAGGAAAGCCAAATTAGTCGCTGCGAGGCTGCATGTCCCTCTGTAGTCGATACATCACACATCCACACAATCAATCCTGTCAACGGCCTGACTTGAAATCCCAAATGCTGCAATACCCTACTCAAGGAGTTGAAAGTCTGCTTGGCATTGGCAAGGCCACGTATGGAAGTTACGCAGGCAGCGCGCTCCCCTGCCTCACAAACCGATTCAAAGGGCTTAGGCTTGAGAGTTGAGCCCTACACCATGAAGAAAACAGCATGTAGACAAGCCAGTATTGTTCCGCATGCCTTGGCAAAGAGGGCATAGAGCCGTGGTACCGGCATGTCCTCCCAGGGCTTTCATCCAGCATAGTTCTCGAAGCTAGAACTTTGAAGACGATAACTTCTACATGCACGGATGGAAAGGGTTTGGCTGTTGCTTGAGGCTGGGCCTTGGGGCTTTGGTGGGATGAACTGTACGGGCTATTGCGCTGTCGAGTAAAATACGGCTGCGTCCTCGACGACCGCAAATGGGGTGGGGTCCTCGGCTGCGGCAACAAACACACGAGATTCTCTCCGAAACTGCTCGACCAAACCAGAAGCATAGAGTGTGGAGTCTAGCACTGAGGATTCTCCGCTTCCACCTGCCTTAAGCCTGAACCGTATATCTTTGGCATAAAAGGTCGAGCATAACGCTCTCGAAGCAAGCCTTCAAGACTCAACAACATCGAAATTCGCGTGCCCAAACCGCCTACATCCAATGCGACCCTCAGCATCATACCTTCCTCTTCAAACTACAAGCCCCAAAAATTCCCACTGCGAACGCTCAAATTATATGTCCGATAATCCGACTATTCCTGCAACCCGAACATGTTGTCTCCATGGGGCCATAATCCGATGGATAGGCAATGGGGCCCCCTCGTCGGCTGCAATGTCGGTGTCGAGAAAGAGATGTTCGCCCTGTGTAGAATCGGGTGTTGCCGGTGCTGGCAGAAGCAACATCACTGGTCACTGCGCCTAGTCGCCTATAAGCCGCGCTTTACTTCCCACCAAAGTCTAGTCTAACGTCACAAAGCATGCGCAAGGCAGTGAGGGAAATCATGATAATTTCGATTAGCGCGCGGCAACGGATGGATTTGAATACCTGTATATGTATGTACGTATATATATATATATATGCATATCTATATATATATATATGCATGTGAATATATATATATATATACATACATATACATATGTGCATGTATATGTATGTACATGTACATATACATATATATATATATGTGTATATATATATATTATCAGAGAGCGCGTCACTGAAAAAAACTATGCAAAAATGTTAAAGAGTGCTAGGAGCTTTATCCACCAAGCGGCTTGCGAGACACAGTGAAACCTTTGCATCCACCGCCTTGACCCGTCTCAATCTTCCCGACCTCTAGACTCCAAACACAACCAGAACTTTGGACGACACTGTGCGAACTCGTCTCGCGGATGCATTGCTGGCCATGTGCCTGGGCAGCAAAGCTCGAGAAAGGCCTCGAAGGATTGACCAACGTCTCCTGCCAAAAGTAAAAGGGTTTGTGAAGACTGGAAGGCAGGCACGAGAAACGAGCAGGGAATGGAAATACCCCGTTTTAGCCCTGAGGGCCGTCACCTTGGGCTTGCAGAAAACAGGATTTGGGGAGCTACAGCTGTTGAAAAAACCCATGGGCTTGCAGGTGCTAAGTTTTTGCACCTGCTGGGACAAGAGCTGCTGCACCGGGAGCTCCAAAGATAAGCTCGACGACGCACCTACAACCCTGAAAGGCACAAGGTTCAGGATCAGCTGTACATACATAGCAGCTGTGAGAATCGCATGGGAGCCGCCTGCTCTGTGAACTTCCGCAAAAGCGAAGTGTTGTTGTGGTACTTGCCGAAGTATTGGTAACATCCAAAAGCTTTTTCGATCACCTTCATGGCGCAGTCCTCGCCCTCTCTTGTCAGGAAACCGTGACCGTGCTCATCTTCGACATACTGTTACTTCCGCACCTGCTCCATGTAATACCCAATCGTAACCCTGCGCTTCTTCGGAGCGGCGGCTCCCGCCTGCGCCAGTGTAGAAAAGGATGAAGGCTCTGGCCAATCTTCTGCCACCGTGCAGCTGGCCTTCTCCAAGCTTTTGTCTGGGCATTCGAAGTGGATGAGATTGTTGCTAGTGCACAGATCCTCGCGGGACGCTCCTCGTATAACCCATAGTCCAGCACCGGACGTCAACAGCAAGAGCTGCGTAAGCTTCCAGCGCGTGAAGCAAGGGTTGCCTCTGTGCTGGTCGAAGTATTCATAGCATCCTGACAAGTCTTTCAGCTGTTGCGCGAAGGTGGAGATGTACAACAAGGCGATTTCCAAGATCCTGTCTTCGACCCTTGGTAATCTGCGAAAGATGGAGCCAGCTGGTAAAGGACGTGTCGGCGAGTTTTTTCAAGAGACGTTGCTGGGAGTCCGCCGCGTTGACGCAGAAGTCTGCACGAGCAGGCAGTTGTCGGCACGTCGGCACCGGAGATTCCCTGTTCAAGAAACCATCGCGTAGCCGTGCCGATGTGGCCGCCTAGATCACGCTTCCTGCACTCTCCGCGGATGCTTGGCCGACTTTGTTACACGATGGAGGATGAAGGCTCCGGCGGCTGCG